GTTTGTAACTTATCGAAATACTCATTTCCGACCTTATTAAGCATATGTATTCTTGATCAGGATGAAAGATCTAGCCCCGTATGTATCGGCACACCAAATTAGCGGTATTTTTAGGATTTCAGATACAAATTAGCTGCAATTAGTCATTTTATTAATATTTCTCCTATTTTTCCAGTAGCCACCATAAAAACTGTCCCTTAAATGTTGGTATTTTGGGGAGCTGGTCACGTTTTTCAACAGAATTACGGAACGGAATTGTGGTGGTCCCAAATATCTGGATCTTAAAGATGTTGAAAAAATTTTTCAATCGAATTTTCTTTAATTTGATATGTTGGGTTGTAATTGGGTAATGGGTTTTAATTCTATACCAAAAATTATTAATATTCGCTCAATTTTATTTTAACCCCTTTTAATTTTAGTATTATTTTATTTTAATAGTTAACTTACCTGATTCGCGTGTTGAAATTGTCCCCATATTATCTTATATCACCATAGTATGGGGGATATTCTAAACTCGAAATAGTCAGAATATATCCTAAAAGTATGAAATTCCGTCCGCTTGTTCTTTTCCTCTTATCATGCTACTTTGGAGGGTATGTCAGGTTCGTATATGAGCTATATCAGGCCAATAATTGCTCCCTATATTCGGTGTTTTAAATATAATATTTAGCTTGAAGGGAGGTATTGAGATACCACACTAAGAAGTAAAAAAGTGCCAGTCGGTGTTGCCGACAGATATATGCGCTCCGTCTATGGTTGTGGAGAAGATATCAGAAGGAGTGGACCCCTGGTTCCCAGCTCCGGACTTTATGTAGGCTTGGTCAAGATAAGAAGATATGCAAACTTCGGACATTCCATTCGCCTGATATTGGATTTATAAATATTGAAAATGTTGTCCTTTTGTGGAGGAGGTATCAGAAGGAGTGGACCTCCCATCTTCAGGCTTGATCTAAGCTTGGTAATGACAATAGGATGTGCAAAGTTTGGTTAAAATCGAACCTTCATTTCATATAAATTTCAATTGAATTGAAAATGTTGACCATTTTAATTTGTAGATATTGAAAATGTTGATCATTTGTGGGGCGAATACCAGACGGAGTGGCCAGTTCATCCAAATTTCGGACTTGATCTAGGCTTGATAAAAATGCCAGGTTGTGCAAAGTTTGATTTCATTTGGACATTCTATTCGCCTATTATTGGATTTATAAATATTAAAACTTTTGACAAGGAAGGGACCAATGGGTACCATCGTCGGACTTGATTTAGGCTTGTTAAAGAAACTAGGTTGTGTAATGTTTGGTTCAAATAGGATAGTCCGTTCGCATGATATTATTATGTTTTTCTTTGTACAATTTTGACCATTTTGGAGTGACCAGAAGGAGTGGACATTGAACGAAGTTTAGGGGAAATATTACGATGTCCAAAGTTTGGTTGAAAGCGGTTATTCCTTTTGACTGATGGACATTTGGAAATCGACTCTAAATTGTTTGAAACTGATAAAATGTGTTATCACCATTCTAAACTTGTTTTGAGATTTTAGGGAAAATGTCCATTTGAAATATGTTGGAATTTGTATTTCGTTAGCCATTACATCAGGAGTCGCGACAGTAATGCAGTATAATATTTGCATAGATTCTCTTATTTATAATATCCCCCATATAAAGATCCGGCCAATTTTGGTTACTTAGGAGGTTTTAGTCATACAACCTTAAATATATGTAACTGTCAGTATACCTATGCTGGAGGATGTTAAAAGTTCGGCCCGGTCAAACTTAACGCCTTTTTTACTTGTTGGAGGTTCACCATGTTTTGAAAGCTTCGTAACGTCCGTTTCCATGTTCCCCCTAAAAAATTTCCAGCCTTATAGGTGTAGGTCCACAGCTTGGTATATTACCTCCTAGTTCCAGTATACTGACGGGTTCGTTGACAATTCATACCAGCTTGTTTGTCCATAAGTCTACATTGTGTGTATATCTACCAAAAACTGGTCGGTTGCGTTTGTAGTGGTAACGTATTCTTACATTACTGTTCATACAGTTAATTCCCTCGGTGTCTGATCAGGTTTGTTTGCCCACCAAACCTCTTCATGTTTGGAAGTTAAGAGCTATAGAAGGAACTTTCTGGTAGCTTCTTAGCCAGTAGACAGAACCAAAACTTTTATGTAAGTATATATGTTGACAGTTTCGGCAGCACACAACGTTGCAATACTCCTAACTTTTTTTCTGACTTAAGAACAATTTCTGAAACATTTCTAAGTCATGTTGCGTACACTTATCTTATTTATACGCTGAAATTGTGAGTATGTCAGTTTGTTGTCGCACACAAAACGCAGCTAATGAATACAAAATAATGTTTACATGCTTAGACGAGTATGTGGCATCATTAGCTACACCAAATGTTTGTTGCACTTGTAAAATGTTGTAAATTGTGCGTGTGTATATATATTTTTTTTCAACTACATCCGTTTTTTTGTATGTCAGACTTGTGAGTGCAACAAAATTACTCTAATAGGCCCCCATTCCACCGTGCAATGAATGAATGGATGCATGATGGTTTCAATGTGCTTACATAGATACCCCCACAATGGTATCCCAATTGTCGATGACAGCGACTGGCTATATATGTCGTATTGTATATATGTATATAATACGTACATATAAAAGGTAATTATTCGTATTTTGGTATCTCTGCATTCACTCATTGCGTACAAGTGCTGTGTACATTGTTGTAAATTGCATGCACACAGCAGAGATTGTTGATAAATCAGCTTCTGCCTAGGTATTAGAGAGAAGACAAAGAAGAATGAGAATGAGAGGGAGCCTCAATTTGTGTACACCGTGAATAGGCTAGAACTAACTCTCTGTGCCAGAAAGCGAAACTCTCGTCATTGACACTCAATGTTTTGTGCATTTGTACACACAAAACACTTTACTGTCCTGATCTGGGCAGCCCATATTTTATATTTGCCAAGGGGGCCAAATCAGTTTTTGATTGATGAGGCCAAAACTAACTCTCTGGGGAATTTTTGAGATCCATAAACATATATTCGACTAACAATTTTTAGGAAACTTAAAATGATACTGGTATTTCTGCAGATGAACCATAGTCTTTAAATGGGGTTTCAATCCAAAGATCTATAAAAGCATTTTTATAGCAATGCTAACTCATGTGCCTGTAGTCTAGTAGACGGCAACGAAAAAAATAATGCAATGTAGAAACATTAGAGAAAATTCAAGTACATATATGTGGAACAAAGTGGTTTTTTGTCTGCAGACAGACCAAGTTCGAAGATGGGATTATTTCAATGATCGAAACGTAAAACTGGACATATAATATGCGTAGAGTTGTTAATTAATTTTGTCGGGACCTATAATAGGTGTATATTTTTGGCGTTGATATAAATGGCGTTGATTTTTTAACAAACGCCCATAACAGGCGTGATTTGTTTTTTTAAGAGACATAAAATTGGCGTGGATATTTTAAAATGTTTTTTAGGAGACCTATAATAGGCCTGGATTTTTTAAAAATATTTTTTAAGAGACATATAATAGGCGGGTATTTAAAGAACAAAAGAACCTATAATAGGCGTGGATTTTTATAATATATTTTTAAAAGACATGGTTTAGAACTATTTTTGAGTTAGTCCCCAAATAATGGTACGGCAACGGTTCGATATTTCGAGGGTTTAAAGCGCGTTTTTCAACCAAATTCGCTGTAATTTGGTATTTTGTGTTCGTATTTTGTAACAAATCTCCATACCACAAATTATTAATATTCGCCGCCTTTTGATAACCCCCTTGTTATATTAACATTGTTAATATATTTCCGTACAAAGTATGGAATTCTAAGACGAATTAGCCATATTCTGTAATCGTTCTACCTTCGGAGGATATCGACAAAAACTAGAACATCAGGTTCGATAATTTAGGACTAGCTCTCATATAATGATACTACCCGATTTTCGGAATTTTTAATATTTAACATGAAGGGATGTATTGAGATACAAATCCAAATGATTAGGTTCGACATTTAGCTATATTAAGCTTATTCCCTCATATAATGATAACCCTAAACATTCGCTAATTCTCACACGATGTAATCTGCATATATTCTTCCAGCTTTAGGAAAGGTCTCCAGGGACGTCCGATACGAAAAATGAATTTCTGCATATTTCGGTATTTTGTATGTCCTCCTGATGGTGGAGGTTATACAAACTTAGGCAATGCTTTTACGTTTACTTCATTTATTCGTCTATTCTAAATTCTTGTACAGGCCCACCTCTCATCGACAGGTTGCACAACACCAATGACGGAAACAAATAAGCAGCCAGCCAGCCATTAGTTTTACAGAAGGCAATTCTAACTCTTTCCTGGACTCTTTCGTCACCACCAAGAAATCACCAAACCATTGCACTGTTGATGTTGTCGCCAATACTGACTGCTTGGTGCTGTTGTTAATGTTGTTGCTAATCCACACGACAACAAAAGAAAGAAAGAAGAAACAAACAAAACCTAACCGGCGAATCTCTTCGCAAGTAAAGCCGGTTTTTGTCAATTCTTTTTATTCTATTTTGTAATTTTATGTTACTCTCTTTTTGCGCTTTACTCTTTCGTTTCATAGTCTCTCGGTGAGTGTGTGCTTTGGTATATTGTCGGAGTACCTCTCAAGTGAGTGTGTATGTGTTGTATGCTTGGGATTCCCTCGTACTTTGTCCACCGGGTTGCCTACTTCTTACTATCGCGGTGATATTAGCAGCGAACGATGGACACAGATGTTTGTTGCGGATGTGGATGGGATATTACGGTGACGGTGGGCAGACGGTGTATCTGTTCACTGTGTAATGTTGCTGCTCGTATCGCATCGTATCGGTGTGAGTGTTATGTTAGTATTTGTGCGAGTATTTTGCCAGTTCTCTTGTATACCATTATTTTCTGTGTGTATTTTACTTTGTCTCCACTACTCTGTTCTCTGGCATGCTCTGTACACTCTGTTGCTGTGTGCCATAAATCTGAGTGCATTCGGCATTGCCCGACAACGTGTGTGTTTGTGTGCCGGTGTGAGTAGCGTCGTCTTTTGTTTGGGTTTTCTTTCGTTTTCGTCATTCTCTGTTTGAGCGTACTTGCCTCTTTCGATGTGCCTGTTTGCGTGCCCCACTGTCGTTGTAGTGGTATTTTTGTTGTGGCGCTTTATGTATGTTGTTGAGCTTCTCTATTTTCCCCAATCATACGGTGCTTTTTCGTTTGCAGTTCGCATATTCTCGCAGATTTTGTTTTTAGTTATTCGCCGATAATTGATGTCAAAGGACGCGTTGAGACCGGTATTTTACGGCGCGTTAAATTAAGAAGGATATTAGGAGACTTTCCTTTGAGTGTATACAGAGGCAGGGACGACGTGGTGACATTGCCGGCTAACCGAAGGAAGTGAAAGTGGCGTTCGCATTGCTGCTGTTCTACGTGTGGCTGGCTTTGGATGTTGGTTGGAACAATGCCAAAGGAAGATCCTTTTGTGAACAGAGCTCAGCTGTTGAAGGCTATCAAGAAATATCCTGAAATATGGGATTCCAACAATAAATTGCATATGTGCCGCAGTGTCACGGCACCCATGTGGAATGAAATTGCTGAGCAATTTGGAGGCCACGTACCCACCGGTAAGTAAGCAAAGCCAATAGTTCATAGCTCTATCGCGTTTGCTCTCTCGTCGTTGTTATCTCTCTCCCTCTCTCTCAAATACAATTTACTACATATACTCTTCTCACTTGCTGTTTTCTCTCAGTTAAACTTCAGTCGATTTGGAGCCAAATGAAATATCACTACCATAACCTGGTACATCGCCAAATTCTACACAAGGAACGTTTTACCACCAAATGGGAACACTTCGAGCCCATGTCTTTTATGTACAACATAACTGTGGCCAAAATAGTGGGGGCAGCGGGCACAAATGGTTCAGAAGTTAGTGAAATGACACCGGCTTTGCCCTCACCGCCACCACTGCCACAATCTCAGGGCCGTGGACGTCCTAGTGGAAGTTTCACCTGGCTTCCACCGGTAGCACCCCAAACGGAGGTTAGTGTCGAGACAACTCCCTTTACCGGATTTACGGGTCTGGTACCACCAGCTGCGGTCACTGTTGAGACCACAACTACACCCCTACGCAAGCCGGGACGGCCCGGTTCACTAAATAACAGCATGCGCGGTCGCATCATTGATGCCATCAAGGCTAGACCGATATTATGGGCCGGACGTCAAAAAGAACAAGCTAAGGGTCAAAACCGTACATCGGCGGTGTGGAAAGAGGTTGCTGTGGAGTTAGGTCTTACGCCAAGTAAGTCCAAAGATTCTAGATATCTATGTTGAGACTGATCAAAAGTTTCATATCTTTCAGGTTTGGTTCAGACACGTTGGTCGATTATCAAACAACGTTATGTCGACGAATTGCAGAAGGAACGGCATGCTCGTTATGGCCAAGAGCATTTCCATTCTTCGTGGGAGCACTTTGAACGCATGTCTTTTATGCGTGACATTTTGGCCAAAAAAGTTGACGAGCGTGAGCAAACACGTGAACACATACAAGAGATTGTTAGTGAAAAGCAACAAATGCAAAACCATCATCAACAACAAGCTCAATTGCAGCAGCAGCAACATCAACAGCAACACCAACAGCAGCAACAACAACATAACATGCACAGTCCACAGCAACAACAACAACAACAGCAGCAACAGATAAGATACATACGATCCACCAGCACGAGTAGCCTAAACTCCTCCACAACATTGTCTACGGCTGGTGGTGGCGAAGGCGGCGGTGGCAGCACGGCCTCCCTTCACCAGGCCCATCACATGCACCATCATCCACAATTGAGCATGTGTGATGAGAATGGTGAACTTACTGTGCACACTACTCATGGCAATGGTGTGATTGGTGGTGGTGGCGGCGGAGCAGCAGCAGCTGCTGGCCTGGTGGGACTTTTGCCGGGTCATGCAATTGTTGCCAGCTCACGTAGACGTGTTAAAAACGAATCAGATTTGGAATGGGATCCATTTGAGATGATCCTTCACGTACAGGCAAGCGGCTCTGAGCCAGCCAACAATTGAATTGATGCCACTTTCGAAAACTCCGAAATAAAAAAAAAAAAACAAAATGAAAAACAAAATATATATGTGTATGGAAAACTACTAGAGACGTGACTGTGGAAGACTGATTATATAGATTACAATAAACAGCAAAACAACAACAACAGAGAAAGAAAGAAAAACTAATCATCCGATCAAAAAATTCATTATTCATGCATACTATACATACATACATATGTACTGCTCTCTATGCTATATAGATTTCGTATGTATATAAGAGTACCGGCACAACATCCACACATCATCATCATCATCAGCAACATCATGATTTCCAACAGCAAACCAGCCAGGCCAGACCAGCTAGCTAGTCAGCCATCCAACAACCATTTGTAGTCCATCTATCCATGGCGTAATAAAATCCATAGACGGGAACAAAGGCGGCAACGAGGCAGACAGGGAAGCAGCCACAGACTTCATCAAACCCGTTTCGTTTTGTGCTGTTCTTTGTTTATCATTTTCATCATGGCCACATTGAATGTCCACACTTTTTGCGGCGTAGCAAGCGGCATACACCAAGTCGCAGCGAGCGAGTCAATCAGAGTGAAGTCGATTTTGATGGTTCCATGTTTGGATATGCTCCTGCTCTGCCCCTGCCTCTCTCTCTCTCTGGGCACTTTGGCTGGGGTGACTGAATACGTTTTCTGTATTCCTACAGATGCATTGGTGCTAAGACAAAAAACGAAAACGAGAAATGATATTTGTAAATGTGTGTACGTTGTGTGCTTATTTGTTCTTACTAGGTTTTTGTTTATTATCTCAAAGATACAACAAAAATATTACTTATTATTCTATATGCGGACAGACTGACTGACGGACACACACAACAAACTGACTGGCATACGACACTTCCAATGTCTTTTTTATCCATTTGTATGCATCGAAATGAGTACGACAAGAACATTAAGATATTCATGTGTCAATAAATGAAAACAAAAATAAACTGAAAACTTTTTCTAGAACCTTAGGTTCAATTTATCTTAAATGTTTGTTTGATTTTTACTTACACATGCAACTGATTTTTATTGTGGTATGTATTGGTTGTAGGTGTATAGCAGCTAATTGATACTATTCCGAACTTTTTATACTTTCTACTATGATAACCATTAAGGAAACGACCAAAGTGGGATGGACCAACTATATTAAGTTAAGTCATTTATTTGTTCAGATTTAGATATAGCTCCCATATAATGGTGAACCAAACCACCAATATTTGCCCGATTGTGGCAAAATTTTGCACAGCGTACTGAATTCAGACCAGTTCAACGTCGGTGAAGTTTTGTTGAAATCGGTACAGATTTAAATATAGCTCCCATATATCGTTTCGTCCAATTTAATGTAAATGGTGCACTCCCACTACTCCCACTATTTTTCCGATTCAGACAAAATTTTCACAGGGTACTAAATTAAATCTAGTTGAAATCGGTTCAGATTTACATATAGCCCCCAAACATAATTTTGCTGAATTTCATAAAAATGTTACACCAAAAAATCTAAGTATGACTGATTGATATGACATTTTTCAGAATGGTATGAGTATGGTTTTTATTAGTTCCGTTCCAGAACCTAAAAGAATCTACTCATTTTACATGTTTTGCAACTTTTTACTCGAAAACCGTTCTTGAACCCACAAAACTGGTAAAACATTGAATAAAATTTTAGAGAGGACAAAACAAAATGGCGTTCTCTTCGTAAACTTTTTACTCGAGAAATTTGGCCGAGTAAAAATGGTAAAAGGAATGCCTACTTCTGATTGGCTGTTATGTTGATTTTGAAGTATTGCCATCTAATTTTGGCATATTTACTAGATTTGCGTTCCCGAACTTTTCAAATTATTTTGTACTCTGAGAGCAATTTTGAAATGTTTCCCTTTTACTCGACTTTTGATCTTTCCTTACTGGTATATACAGATATATCGATACCGTCCCACCAAAAATTCAAAATACCGAAATACCATTATAGAGAGGATATACATATATGTGGACCGATATATCTATTCGAATCTTACCTTACAGTTTTGTATCTCGATTCCCTTACAGACAAACGGAATTGCTAAATCGTCTTATAGTTTGTAAGATATAAAACGTAGAATTTAAAATTTCAAGCACAAAATATTCTCCCTATAAAAAATACAAAATAATAATTCAGAAGGCCAAATTACAGACCAATTTGTTATAAATCGAAATTTGAGAGTGGTGTTTTATGTGAGCTAACCAAATATTTTACCAATAATAATTATACTTAAGAAAAATCTCAAAATCTTAAAAAAATTAGGGTCTTTACCTAAATGTGAACCAAAGTCTAATGAGTAATATGTGCCAGCAGACAAAATATACGAAGGTGCGGCCCATCATACACAACCACCACTAAAGTCTAATTTTCTGAAAATCTATATTCCGATCCTGGGCAATATTTCGCGATCGATTTGAGGTCAACAGCTCATCTTTCCTACTCAGGCATCTTTTCCGCATCATGTTTTTCCAGAACGTGGACGCCATAAGATTATTATCAAAATAGTCATTCCAAATAGTTGGTCAGATCACCTGTACGCTACAAATTTGTGATTTTCGGTTTATAAATGTTGGGTCTAGAAAACCAGACAAAATAAATATTATAACCACTGAAAGTTATAGGCGTCGTCTTTGATCATAAACGAAATTTCATGAAGAATTTCAAAACGATTGACATGGCAATGGAAATTCTAAACTAAATCATAATATGCCGACTCCTATAAATATTTGAATATAATTTCCACATCCGAATATACACATACGTATAATTAATACTAATTGAAATTTTAACCATTCCTTTTAAATATACTGTCAATTTTTTCGGTTAATGTGTTTTAAAAAACAGATAAAATTAAAGTTTTTGGTCCAATTCATCCACTAAATACTAATGGATCATTACCAAAAACTATAGGGGTCTTCTATGGCCAGAAGCGGTTCTATATAGAAAATTTCGTGTCGACTGGTCCATAACTGTCGCGTGTAACGTGTTTACAAATTATAATTAACACACATGTCTTTTTCAACTTGTCGATATATAACGATCGGTATACTAAAAAGTGGGCTTAGGACCAATAGTTCGCGGCGTTACAAACTCTTCGGGTCCCACAAAGCTATAATACCCTTGCAGCATTGTTGTGTAGGGTATAAATTTTATAATTTATATTAACTTCTTAGGTTGTGCGCCCAAAATTATGCACTTTAGCAAGGAACTCTTCTGCCCAAACTCAACTGCGTATACTTGAGATATCACTCATCCGCCCCAATGTACGATCTAATGTCATACAAAAATGCTCAATAATAAGAAAACAAATAAATAAACCACTTCCAGCCGGCCGAGACCGACTATATGGTATTGCACACCACTTTGGGTATATATAAGAGGTGCTCTATGCATTTTATTTTAAAACATATTACATTCTATATGGGTGTCACATATATCAGTATCACTTGCTATATATTAAATAAATGAAAAAAGGGAAATGCCATATCATACAGTACGGCAGACATACAGTCGAAATTGGGAAATTGCGGAACAGTTATATATGCCACAAAACAAATATTGTCTTTTCTACAAAATGGTCTGGGTCCAATATACGATCATAATTGTAAAGCTTCGAATACTGAAATTTATGAATTTTGCCATGAAACTTCCAAAGTAGGAAATGCCGGAACTGTACTCTATTGCAGCGACTCCCGATGCGTTGAAAAACAAGCTGGGTGTTATAATCGACTACATTTTTAAGAGGATTTTGTAACCAATAGTGCATCGAAAATACTAAAGAGTAGCCAATTTAAGGCGATAATCGGTGCCTGATTATGGGAACCTATAAAAACATGTTTTCGAGGATAGCCTATTCGCTTGGAAAATATGAGTATTACCTACACAAACCAAACAGTGGAGGAGCATTCGAATTTAAATTTTTTCACAATTTATTTTTTAATAAATAAAAACGTCGTTAATTTCAGCCGGGCCGCACTTTTTACACCCTCCGCCACGTAGGGTGCATTCTAAATTCCTTAAGTCTATCGAGACATTTATATGGGGACTATGTTATGGTGGTGTGTGATAGTGGATTGTTCAAGCCCCAAAAAATTACTCGCCAGAAATCCGAAATTTATTAATACAGAAAAAGAGGCGGAACTTAAAGTGGGGTTATATGAAAACTTGTACCTATATACACCGCGCACATGTGTATTTAAGTCAGCCTTCAAGAACTCAATTACAGCTCCATCGGTTGGAAAATGGGACTACGTTTTCAAAATATTGATTACTTTTGGTAGGAAGAAAAATTTGACACCCCATGAGAACTTGAAAAAACCCAGCCAAAATACCGAATAAATTGGGTTACCTTTATATGGGTGGTAACCGGAACCATGGGCCAATATTGATCACTTTTGGAAGGGACATCCTCTATTTAACACTAGATTGCCGAAGGCGGTCATTTTGACCGTTTTTCAATTTCAAATACAAAAACAACAAATTTTTCAAATTTGGTGACTTTTTTTATAAAAAACGTAATTCTATGTGGTACAAAAAGTCACCAAATTTGAAAAAAGTGTCATTATATGCACAGTTGTTTTTGTACTTGAAATTGAAAAACGGTCAAAATGACCGACTTCGGAAATCTAGTGTTAATAAGAATTTAAAATATCAAATTGCTCTAAAATTTATAACGATACCAAAAATATCGATATTTGGGGTGTAGTGGTATATGTGGGTTTCCCTAAATGGTGGACCAATTTTTATAATTTTCACTTTCATACCACAACCCAAAATAACAAATTATAATTAGTTAGATAGAGACCAAAACCATCAAAATACCGAATACTGCGGGGTATCGTTACATGGTAGCATACGCCAATTTTTCGTAGGCAGACCTGTAGGCCTATTCGGTAAATTTTAACAACATTCGATATTGTTTAAATTTCTTTTGTTATTGTAAAAACAATAAAACAAACAAATTCAATTGTTGTAAAATAAACAATATCGAATGTTGTTAAAAAGGTGCAGAATAGGCC